TATGTCTCTCTGCAGTAGGTCTGAGCTTCAGTCCAGTTCATAGGACCAGAAACGTAGTGGTACTGATGGAGGAGGCATGAGGAGAAGATGTTCCACCCTGAGGACGACACAATTTTATCAAATGTAAGGTGGCTCAAACTCATATTTTCTTCAGTTTTTACAATAATAAACACTGAAATGAATAATGAATGAATGAATAGTGAAATAATTCACTGACCTGAGAGACACAAGACACCCAGCAAGATCCTCTCCCTCATCATGCTGCCATGTGGACTGTGTGTGTGTGTGTGTTGATTTTCACCACTAAGAGGATTTTTGCATTCCTTATGCAAAAGGCATTGTGTTGGCAGACATAGGAAAATGTCTCATCTGTGTGTAGTCAAAGGGCATTTTGAAGCAAGGGTGTTTTCAGAGTCACACTTTGTCATGAGCATGTTTATTTGATGGGGTCACCCCAATTACAAAATACCTAGGTTCTCACTTCTTTCCCCAGGCTGTGAGACTGTTAAATTCATCCTCAGCACTGCATCATGCAAAATAGTTTTATTTCTGTATATAACGTTCACTTTTTTGAGTAACATAAAGGTACCTACAAATCTTATGTCATTATACAGCCCTTTTGTAAAATGAGAAATAAATTTACCTTATCTCTGGTGGTATCTATCCATGAATATGGTTTTGTTTTTATCTGACCAGAATAGAAAGAGGTTTCCCAAGCCCATCCCAATACGTTGGAGGTGAATGGATTTCATTTCTTAGTGCATTCAGAAAATTCAACTGCTTCCAGAGACATGGTACCCATTATACAGAGATTTTACTGTCAAAAGTTTTCTTTGGGACTATGTCTTCAGTAGAAAGTTCAAATTAAAGCTTTTAACAGAAAAGCTAGATGTTTGACATGTTAATTTAATAATACATAGGGAAACTGTTAAATTCAGCTGATTCTTCTGAGGGAGCACTGAAGGTGAGTTCAAATATAATTATTTAATAGTTCATCATTACACGTAGGGTGCAAGAAAGGAACAGTAGAGAAAAATCTGCAGCCATGCAAATATATTTTATTTGTTATGCAAAGGCAGAGTTCAGAAAAGGTGATTTCCATCTCTGTTTGACAAACAAAGGTGTTGTGGTGGCAGCCCGGCTGACGGTGAGTGTCCTGGTTTTTTCTACTTTTATCAGTTTTTCTGCTTTTTCCCTTGGTTTCCTGTTCTCTGCCCGCCTCTCTGTGTTTTCTCCCCCGTGTGCTCTCTCTCCTCTGCTCCTGAGCCCAGCCAACTACCTGCACCTGCAACCCATCATCCACCTCGTCAGCCTGCCACACCTGCCAGTAATCAACCTCATCCCAGCCTGTATTTCAACCCCGGTTCTCCACACCATCCTTGCTTGATCGTCGCTGCTCCATACCTGGTGCCACTTCAGTGTTCAAGCTTCCATGCTCCTTGTTTTTTCACACTTACCTGTGCCTTGTCTTTGTCTTCCCTAACCTTGCCTCTCTGTCTGTTTCCCTCCCAGGTACACTCACCCTCGTCCTCCGTTCGGCTGGGCTCATCCACTGGCCCACTCCTCTATGGACTTCCCTCACGGCGTCCTCCCCGTTCCCCCGCCTCTCCTCGCTTCCTCGGCCCGTGTTCCCCGGCTCCCTGGCCCCCTGTCTCCTTGGTTCCCCGTGCCAGTACTTCCCCAACGTCCTCCTCTCCCTCCACTCCAGTCCCTCTCACCCTCTTTTCCCCCCAATAAACCTCCTTCCCTCTGAGTGCAGCATTTGGGTCCTCTCTGTCCACACACCACACCCCGTAACACAAAGGCAAGTTCATCTTGAGGTTCCATTCAGGGAGAAACCAGAAATAAAGGCTGAGGTTCCTGAAAATTAAAAACAATCACTAATTTGTTACTCATGCTGAATAAAGGCAACTTTAGATGATTTTAACAAACTGTGACACTGCAAAAGAACAATATTAGATGAATAGAGGCTTTTTTGCTGTCTATCATGATTTTTGTATGTTCAAACCTGGGCATAGACACTAATACATAACCGTTTGCAGTTGGTCATTTATAAATGTAACTTGTCCCCATGCAAAGATTACAATGCCACTCTCTGACATTACTAGAGCTGCTTTAAGTGAGATCAGGTGTGGCTGGGGAGGTAGTCAGGGATGTGCAAAGACATTTGGTGGTCAGGGGCTCAAGTGAAAAAGGGCACTTCTCATAATTATAATTTTTTTTTTTTTTTTTAAACAAAACATCAAATAAATTAATCAATCTTTATTTATATAGCACTTATCATATAATACATGTAACACAAAAAGCTTCATACTACAGAGCCATTTAAAAGTAATAGTTTAAAAACCACAATAATGTAATAGTACCTACACTCCAACCACAAATAAGCACCTGGGGGGAAAAAACACAACAGCAGATCAAGCCCAAACGTCAATCCCCGCCACCCCCGAAACACTAAATCCCCAGGACCCCAGAACAAAAAGCACTAGAAAAGCAGCCCATCAATAGTAAAAGTATAATAAATAAATAATGTTAACACAACTCTGACTTTCTTAACAATTTGTTTTAATTCCCTCACACTCACACAATTGTTTAATACTAAACATTTTTACTTTAATACAAAATAATCAGTTCACACAGAAGCCACGGTCTTCTTTAGTATTCACTAGGTTTATCACAGGAGCAGGCAACAGTAAAGGAAACTATGACAAAATGTGCATGTTTTCTATGCTATATATTTAGATCAGCATACTACAAACTAATAAAATTGATAGCTATTAGATGAGGAACCTACTATCAAAACTATGAAGTTATTGTATAAGGCACTTTTTTCATGGATTGACAATTTTGAGATTTTGTCTGTTTTGCTTCCATTTCTTTTCTTTTTTTTTTTACTCAAATGGAAAGAAAACTTCCAAATGACACATTTAGATGTTGTCGGTTTTAAGCCTCGGTCCCTCTTCTAAATTCTTCTAAATTATCCAAAACAAGCTAATGTGGATATTTAAACATAACATTTCAGATAAAAAGACTCTCAATGTAAGTCATTCACTGGGGAAGTTAAGTACCGATGTGCTTTAGTTAGTTATTTAGTTTATCCTATTCACCTGCATTGCCTTGTTAACTGTATGCACCGTCTTTAACCGTCTTCTTAACTTTTTAAAGCAGTGTGGAAAGTCCATTTTTATCTCTGGTCCCATTCCCACAGTCGGTCGCGGTGCTGGCCGCTTCAGTAGACTCCTTGGCCTCCACGACTGGCTCCAGTCCGCCTGCAGGGCTCATCGTGTGTGTTATGTGGATAATTTTAATATTTTCTGGCAAAGAATGTCTCTTTTTAAGACAGACGGACTTCACCCAAACAAACGGGACTCAGAAATGTTAGCTGCTCACATACAGCATGTGGTGCGGTCCACACATGATTTACGTGAATGACTAATCATTCATGCAGCACACCTGGACACACCACCGCTCACCGAAAGATCTCTGCCTCACTGCCACAAACAACTGTCTCCACCTGCTGGCATGTAAAGCCGTCTGCTCCCAGCGCTGTTCCACAGACTTCTATTCCTGTCATTATCACGCATAGACCAGTAAACCGAAATGTGCACGTCCCACACAGAAATAATAGTAATCTCTTAAGGATTAGGACAACTGCACCAACTCCAGCACCCAGAACAAACCCATTTAAAATGGCTCTCTTCAATGTGAGATCACTGTCAAGTAAGACTTTTATCTTAAATGATTTTATCTTGTCTGCAAATCTAGATTTTATGTTTTTAACTGAATCCTGGTTGCACATGAATGACTATAGCCAGCTAGCTGAACTGTGTCCGCCTCAATATGATTGTTTTAGTCAACCGAGGGTCAGTGGTCGTGGTAGTGGGCTAGTGAGCGTGTATAGGAAAAATTTAAAATGTCATCAAGTACGCTGTGATGAATTTAACTCCTTTGAAGTTTCTCACTCTTAAACTTGGAGGGCTGCAACCTATCATATTTGTTATAATTTATCCCAAAACCGCCTGGAGGATTTTTATCAGAACTTCCTGAATTTTTATCTACTCTGGTTTTAAATTATGACAGAATTGTTCTTTGTGGCGATTTTAATATTCATGATGATGACCCCACCAATGTTAATGCAACTGACTTTTTAAATATGGCCACTTCTTTTAACTTCAAACAACATGTCAAAGGACAAACACATAACCGTGGTCATACACTGGACTTGGTTTTTACCCAGGGTGTCAGCATTTGTGTGGAATCTGTGGAATTAGTGGACATGACCATATCTGACCACAGATGTATTGTTTTTAGCTGCGATTCCCCTGTTACTCATGCCGCCTCACCAAGCTCCGTGTGTTCTCGCTTCTTTAATGAACAAAGTGTTTCAAAGTTTTGCGCATTCTTTCAGAGCCAAAGCCAACACCTGTCTGATTCCAACACCAACAATCTGGTCAATCACTTCAATCATATCTGCTTGTCGTCACTAAATATTACTGCTCCTCTAAAGGTTAGGCCTACGTCTAAAGCTAGAAAGCAACCCTGGATAAATGCATTCGCAGCCTCAAAAGGGAATGCAGGAAAGCAGAGCGCAGATGGAAAAAATCCAGTCTCCAAGTCCATTACCTCAGTCTGAAGGATTTATCAATTAAATACAATAACATGGTTAAGGATGCAAGAACACACTATTTTTCTGAACTCATTACTACACATAAACACAATCCCAGGTTTCTGTTTAAGACTGTGGATCAGCTGGTAAACCCAACCCCTCCTTGTGCCTCAGCTGGAAGTAATGATGACTGTGAATTGTTTTATCTTATTTTACCAATAAGGTGGTGTCAATCAGAGCCTCTATTACCCCCGTGGCCTCTTACTCAGAGGTTCCACACCAGCAACAAGAGAGTTTTAACCAGTTTTATCCCATCGACTTGTCTGAGCTTTTAAAAACAGTATCACAAATGAGAGTGTCCTCCAGCCCACTTGATGTAATACCTACAAAGTTGTAAGTGTTGTTGCATAAATACTTGTGTTTTCATGATGCACAGTTCATAATTGCTGTTATAATTTCATGTAACAATATAACTTAATTTGGTGTAAAGATAAAATGTAATACATGTTTAAGAACTAAAGGGTAGAATAAGCTGCTAAATGATATGTGGTTAACAGTGTATCTATCTCATTCTGTATATTTACGTTTGTCCCGGAACTAATGTTTTCTGTCTGTGTTACCGCTACAACGGTTTAAGTCGACACTCACTGCCTTGAATTCCGGCGGAGCAGATAGCTCCGATGCTTGTTAAACTGCATAAAAGTTAAAAATGTGTTTGAAGTTAATGCAGACAACCAAATGGACATTCAAGAGACTTCAAAGAACTTAGTAACCTCTTTTCACGACAAGCGGCCAACGAGGTATTATTATATTGTCTTTATTGATCTGAATGTTGTTTGTATTTTCTCTGCTAAGCTATAATGTATTGATTTATTTGTACTGTGTTCACTTACAATGTAGTTCTCACGGCGAATAAGGCATATACGACGTTCAAGGCGTACATGGTGTGAAGTTGGATGTACCAAAGAGACCCGATGTGCCCACAGCAATAAACGCCCGTTGCAAAGAACTGACCTGTGTCTGTGTTGTCGCGAAGAGAGCTACAAAAGTTTTTACTGAAAGTAATGGATTCTGTTGGGCCCCATTTGATCTCTGTTTTCACAACTCCCTATCTACTGGTTGTATCCCTGATTATTTTAAAACAGCTTGCGTGAACCCACTTTTAAAGAAACCTGGTTTAGATCCCTCCCTCCCACATAATTTTAGACCAATTTCAAAACTGCCTTTTATTGCAAAGATTCTAGAAAGAATGTGTCCAAACAGCTGCTCACTGTACTGGAAAATAACAAAATA